TTTTTTTTTTTTTTTTTTTTTTTTTTTTTTTTTTTTTTTTTTCCTAGGTGTATTCTAGCACATCAGTGAACTTTCAGATTTACTTTCCGAATTCCGCCTATATATATGTCCTAAAAAAAATAATTAAAAAAACCGGACACACCAACAAAGATTCCAGGTACAAAGAACCCAACCAACTAACCAAGATGTCCAAACCATTCTTCTCCTCTCCTCCCCCCCCCCCCCCCCCAACACCCTTCCCCCCCAACCAAAATGCGAACAATAACGGCTTTCAAAAAAAAAAAAAAAAAGTCACCCTGATGTTAACTTCAACTGACAACCTTCTCCCGCCCCCGAAAAACAACAACAACAACAACAACAACAACAACAACAACAACAACAACAACTTACAACCGTACAACTGCTTACCGAGATGGAAAAGTTCTTCATGTGCATCGGATAGTTCACAGTGTCAAGGAGAGGAGTGCTTGGCTTTTCCGAATGGCCCTCACTGTTGGCACAAATTTCAAATTTGCCCTGCAGCATCAGAACCCCCCCCCCCCCCCCCCCCCCCCCCCAACCAAAAAAAAAAAACCCGGTCACGGGAATCATCGTCAATATGCCGCTCCCCTCTGATGTATTAGTAGCAGTCACCGCTCCCCTCTGAGGGGGAATTCACAAGTCACACACAAGTAAGGTCAACAGACATGATTCCCAGTTTGGGCGTCGCTGAGTGTGAACAAGTGTGGGAGCCTTGAAGGCAAAATACCACCACCGGGTCCAACCTCGCCCCCTCCCCCCCCTCCCGCCCTTTCTTAACCTTCCGCTTCAACACATGGACGGAATAGTACGGTAAGCAGGAAGGGAAGTCATTGGTTTATCATAGAGACGATTTCGGGCAAAAGAAATTCCCATGGTGTGACGGGCGGTGTGTACAAGGCCTGAGTACATATTCACCGCGGCATGCTGATCCGCGATTACTAGCGATTCCAACTTCATGTTCTCGAGTTGCAGAGAACAATCCGAACTGAGGCAATGGCCACCCTCTCCTGGGAAGCTGCCCGGTTCAGGCGGTCCAACGGCGATGGCAACCACTGGCCTGAGACTCAGTGGCCTCCACAACAACCTGGACGAGAATGTTCCCAATAATTGCTGAGTTTGCAATCTGGGCAATGCCCAGCCAACTGCTTACTTCACATGTTGTCCTTTTTTTTTCTTTTTCTTTTCTTCTCTCTCTCTCTCTCTCTCTCTCTCTCTCTCTCTCTCTCTCGTCTGCAGACTCCGCGGATGTGCACGTACTGTGACGCACATACATCAAGCAAGCAGTGAGGCAAAACAGAATTGGAAAAAAAAAAGAAACAGAAAGTCAAACAATGGTCGTTGACTGTCCTACAGGTCCACGGAGGGGAGAGGGAATAGCATCTCAACAATTACACAATGGGGATGGGCATGGGGGCTCGCTCCGCTACATAACGCGCTACACGCATTAGTACGTTTTCAGGACCCGATACATTCAAAGTCACTGTGTTGGACTCATCCGAATGCATCTGTTCCAGAAAAGCGTCCATCTGCATGTAGAATGTTGTATAGTGGCGCGAGACCCATCAGCGACGACGATGGAGAGGAGGAGGAAGCAGGCGGAATGAACCCGAAATACAAAAACAAAAACGAAAAACAAAAACAAAAACAAAAACAAAAACAAAAACAAAAACAAAAACAAAAAGAGGAAAAAAATAGAAAGAGGAAAATAATAGAAAGAGGAAAATAATAGAAAGAGGGGAAAAAAAAAAAGGAAAAAAAAAAAGAAATTAAAAATAGAAAGGAGAACCAACTGTTACAGGCAAAAAAAAAAAAAGTTCGGACACATGAATCAGATCCCGACCGTGCGTACCTTCCGTTGACCACGTTCATTGGTTTTGACGGTTTGACCAAATGGAGCGTTGACTAGTGTCTCCGCGCCAAAAGTCCCTGCAGCAACGAATTACCAAGCAGTGCCACCCAAAAAAAGAAAAGAAAAGAAAAAAAAAGAAAAACACACGAAAAAAAACTTTTTAAAATAAGAGACAAGAAAAACATGAGAGCAAGTGTGCACACGTCCCCACGCAGGGCATTACGTGTACTCATGACCGCGGGGGCACGGTCCCACTAGCAGCGTTTGAGTTCCCTAAAGGTCCGAATCGGGACGTGTTTTTGGCAATGTGCATGTGCAGTAGTTGAGGACACCGAACAGCGATTTTCTGCACTCCTCCACAAACAGGTCCAGATTCAGGCATTGAGGAGAGACGTAACGTTGCTGTTGGGACTTGGGCCCCGAAGCCTACTAGCCAAGGGATAACTTACGACGACATTCTTTTTTTTTTTTTTTTTTTTTTTTTTTTTTTTTTTT